AAAAAAACCACGGAAATGGCGTTAAAAAGTCGTTTAGTTTGCTAATCAGTGGTACACCTGCTAACGGCTTATACAGTTTCATGTGACGCATACATATATACATACATTACTTTATTTACCCTCGAATTTCAGAGTAGCTTACGCAGATAATATTTCCAAGGATTTAACTATCAGAACGTGCACGCAAAGAACGTTCGCCACGAAGTGTAGCTGATACCTCTACCAACAAGAACGCATTGTTCCAGAGAACCTGCACTATATGAAGAAAGACCCTTCATAAAAAGATTGCAGTAGCCTCTAGCACCAAGTTTGTGTTGTCATAACGACCAGAAAGTCATCAATTAAACAACCTACCTTTTGACCTATGGTCATTTCCGGTTTATCGATCACACTTATGGTGACTAATAAACCTTAAAAAATGTTGGATCTGACCTAAAACTGATGCTATTAAAGTATAAAACTAAATTTTCGACAGCTTTCTGTTTATCTTAGTCAAAGGAAAATGACTAGTCGAATAATTAAATTTAATTTGATCCTTTAGGGACGCAATAAAAGGCAAATAGGCCCCAGGGAGGGGCTGGTGCTCATCTACAGCATCGGTATTTACGGTGGAATGCCAAGATTCTAAGAGTAAGCGTTCTTGTCGATTGCTAACGCCACGCTCTAGTATTTCCACGCATTTGGGATGGATATCATGTCCAGCCGTTTCCGCGTGCTCTTTAATTGCCAATTCATTGTTTCATCTTGTGCCAGGCTTGAGCTCTGCCCCCCGAGAGTTCCAAGATCTTTTGCTTTCGCCAATGTATGCAAACCAACACGATCTACACTCGACTTTGTAAAAATTCCAGTCACTAGATTCTCGCGTGGGCACTCTTTAGGTTTCTTGAACACATCACCAAGTGTTTTGATCGGCCGAAAAGCAGTCCTAACATCGTCTTGGCCCAGGATACACCTTTTTTTTTTTTTCCTGACTCCTTTAATATACGGGATTGAGGCGAAAGCTGTTGTTTCACCCAAGACTTCTGATCTCGTTTCTCTCTCTTTCTCTTCGTGTAGTGTATTGATTACCATAGCAACATCGTTGTGCTATTATGCCGATCACTCGTTATTGTAATATTGTGAAACTACTGCATGATGTAAAAGTACTAGTCCTGTGTGAAAGTAGAATTGTACTGGATA